CATGATTAAACCTGGCTATATTGGCTATCTATTTAGTAACATATTTCAAAAGACTGTTGTTTACTTTTATGATTTGTATTTTGTTTTTTTTATGTTCCCCTTTTTCCCCCTTGAATTGTTCGCCGCCCTGAGCCCTCCCGGAGAAGGGCGGCATACAAATAATAAAATTCTATTCTATTCTATTCTAACCTCACTCCATATTTAAGAGGCCCCCTAAGGAAACATTTGTAAATGCACTGGCATGCCTATGGGGTATAGACCCTGTCACATTTTGATTTTCATATTTTCTTTACTTGAATTTGTGATTTTTGTCTGACGAACAAAATAATTAAATTAAAATAAGCATGTCCCAAAGACATTCAGCAAATATGCAGGGGTTGAAGTAGGCGAAAAAGCAGATGGCTTACCATACATAAAGGACACCACCCATGTAAACAGCATGTAAGCCCCCCCCCCCCATGTAAACAGAATAGCTCTGTAGTACTCTGAAGTACGTAGTAGTCATATATTTTTGACTATACCTGAGGTGAGGAAACCTTGACATCCATTGTTCACATTCCTCCTCTAGGCTAACATATAAACATGGTTTTTGTTCATAAAGGAGCTCATCAATGTGTCTGAATATTTGCTGAACTTGCCGGGTAGCAGCCTTATCAAATTCCTAGGGGAGGAAAAGCCAAAAAAAAAATAGTTACATCACACTAAACATATTCTCAAAAGGCTTTTTTTACAATAGAAAGATAACATTAATATATTATAATATTATGCAAAAAAAGATCGATTCAAGAAATGACACTACTTGCTTAGAAAATCCCAAAGAAGATATTTCAGGGGATATCTATAATAAAGTCAACTAAAATAGATGAGAAAATAAGCCAAGGCATCCTAGGCTTAATAGAATCTTCAGGTTTACCAAATTAGAAAAATAATACTCAGAAGGAAACCGGATGAAACATAAAACAATTACATTTGGAGATTGTAATAATTACCAAGGCCATTCAATTCTGGTTTTGATTTTTTTAAAACAAATATTTCTAAATTTGTAGAGGCTCTCTTACAAAGTCATTCGTGAGCTCATTCTTCAAGCTCAAAATGAGAAAGCATACAGATTCGTATGAGAGTTTAAACTTATTCAACCAAATATATTATAATTCAGTGGTTCTCAACTGTGGTCCGTGGACCCCTGGGGGACTGTGATATCATTACAGGAGATCTGCAAAGGTTTGAAGAAATGTTATGATTTAATGAACAAGGACACACATCCAATTCTGCAGCTACTAAGATTTTTGGACGAGCAGGCACAAAAACAGCCAGGAAAATGATTGAAGCCTGGGAAATGAGCCCCTCAGTCAATAGGAGTGCTGATTTACCACCAATCTATCAAGTACTTAGAAGGCGAGGGCTGGGCTGCAGAAGCAAATGACAGCTATTGACTTAAAAGCCAGCCATCAACACACCCTAATCAACATGTAAAAATCCATATACAACAGGCACCATAAATACCACAGAGAACAGCACACATTCTGCTAGAGAGAAATTCCCTGAAGACAGGCTCAAGCGAGAGCCTGAAAGCTCTGAAGACGAAATGTCAGGTCCCAGTGACCAACCCAGGTTGAATCCTGCAATATCTATCAACAGGTGAGGTGGCGCAGTGGTTAGAGTGCAGCACTGCAGGCTACTTCAGCTGACTGCAGTTCTGCAGTTCGGCTGTTCAAATCTCACCGGCTCAGGGTTAACTCAACCTTCCATATATTTATTTATTTATTTAT